ACACTACAAACACTCACACACCCACCAACCGACACACACAGAAAGAGAGAGAGAGAGAGAGAGAGAGAGAGAGAGAGAGAGAGAGAGAACCAAGGATTAAAGAAATGCAAACCCAGGGGACTTTCAGGTATTGTCTCACCAAGGAGCAGTCAGTTTGAGAGCCCAGCACCATTTGACCCAAGGTCAGACTCAAGGCCCATCTTAAGTGTTACAAGTGTCTCTTGATTGATACCCTATGGGGTGGGGGACAAGGATGCCCTTGTCAGAAGACCTGAGGGGACCCAGGCCAGGAACAACCGTTACTGAGGCACCTGTCCCACTGATGCAACTTGAACGGTGGCTGTGGCTTTGCTGTTCCATCCTGGAAAGCATTGTCTCGTAGACTCCACTCTTATCCCTTCTCTTAGTCATTAACAAACTTAATACACTCTAGGACTCTGCCAGGGAGAGTCCCCTGCTGAAAGGAATGCCCTCAGCCTGGGCCATTCTGCCCCCCCTCAGGCCCTTCCCCCTTCATTTTGAGATGGGCTCTAGCTATGTTGCCCAAGATGGTCTCAAAGTCTTGAGTTCAAGCGCTCCTCCTTCCTCAGTCTCCCAAATAGCTTCAAGTCCAAAGGAATGCTGCGTATATCCAGCTGTATAACCCAGGCTGCCCGGGATCCTCCTGCCTCAGCTTCCCAGTGCGTGTACAATAAATGTTCTTTCTTTGAACGGGGTGGGGCTTGAGACAGGGCCCTGTACATAGTTCCGGCTAACATCAAGCTTCAAATCCACCTCAGCCTTCCTGGTTCAGGGATTACAGCTGGGATTACACTGTGCCTGGTTTCCTCTCTGTCTTAAAGCTGCCCTTCTCAGTGAACTGGCATCCTTACATTTCCTTCAGTGGGTTTGGGTCTTTTCAAAAAGGGCCCTGTTGTCTATGGCCTGCCTCCCTCCCACATTCCTGTGTGTCTCCACCACCATGAAAATGCCTAGAGTAACAAGGTCTTAATGCTCCTTCTGGAGAACTCCGCAGTCACCTGACATAGCTTCTGCCCTTGATGGGAACAATGGGAATGGAGAGACATTCTTCCATGACACTGAAGAGGGGGTGGGAGGCGACAGGCATGGAAGTGGGGCCTCACAGGGCAATATTATTCTGGGAACACCTTCTTCTCCATCCTAAAGTACCAGTGCGTGAGAATGGGCACCAAGGTGTGAGCAGCACTTTCCTTCTGAGTTTAATGTCAGCAGGCACACTCACACCTCTTAAGTCTTTGGCAGTTTCATAAATGACAGAAGCCCAGGAGAGAAGCCTGTGTTTAAATGGCAGTTCTGAGGTGTGTTAGCTGAAACCCTTGGGCTACAGGAGCCAGGAATCAGCCTGAGCTGGCTGATGTGTAAAAGCAGAATTTCTTTGAAGGATGCAGAGCCCTCTTAGAACTCAAAGACAGTGGACAGGACAATGGGGCATCAGAGAGGCCGTGAGATCAGCCTGGGAAATGGACAAGTCGGTTGGGCCTCTCTCCTCAAGTATATAGGAGCTAAAAGCCCCGCACTGGGCTTTTTCATTGGCTCTGTCCCATACAGTGCTCTTCAGACCACTCCAGCCAGCCTCTCCCTGCTCTCACTGAAGCCAAATCCTAGGGCCCATCTCCATCTGCAAATGGGGTTCCTCTTCCCCTCAGGCTGCCTGACTACTAACAGTCCCCAAACATGTGACTACAGCTTTCTTTGAGACCCCAAATTTAAATCTCAGGTCTACCTGAGGTAGTTAGGGATCCACTTAGGGGCAGTTGTAGTAGCCATGGATAGGGAGCTGCAAAATGTCCCAGGAGTTCATCCACGAGGACTCCAGGCTGGGGGTCTTGAGGTAAGGAGAGGGGGTGTGGGGCTGCTTGATAGAGGGCTCAGTGACTACGTTAAAAAAGCATGCATGAATCTGAAGACAAATTGCTTTTTAATTCTACAGTTAACACTTGTAAGTTAAATTGATTTAAGGCATTGAGCTCAAATGAACCAGGATTGGCATCTTTGGGCTTCAGAAGCGATAGCTGCCTGATTTTTTTCACATGACCTATATGGGCCATAATAAAAATACACTCAGGATTGAGAAAATGGCTCAGTGGATGTTGTACTTTGCTTTCCTGATGACTGCTAGGCAGTGGTGGCACACACTTTGGGAGGCAGAGGCAGGTGGATCTGAGTTCGAGGCCAACCTGGTCAACAAATCAAGTTCTAGAACAGCCAGGACTACACAGACTGTCTCCAAAAAAAAACATAATAATAACAATAATAATAATAATATAAGCATGATGATCAAGAGCAACTTAGGGGAGGAAAGAGTTTGTTTGGCTTAGACTTCATGCCCGAGTCCATCACTGAAGGAAGCCAGGACAGGAACTCAAAGCAGGAACCAGGGGTAGAAACTATGGAGGAACACAGCTTCCTGGCTTATTTATTGGCCCATGCTCAGCTAGCTTTCTTATATAAGAAAGCCTCCTGCCTAGTGATGGTGCCCTCCTACATCATGGTGGGCTGGACCCTCCTCCATCAATCCTCAATCAAGACAATATCTCATGGAAACGTCCACGAGCCAATCTCATAAAAGCAGTTCTTCAGCTGAGGTGCCCTCTTCCCAGGTGATGGGCTCTAGGTTGGATCTATCTAAGGATAAAAACTAACCAGGATAGAAGGCACAGCGCTCACTGTGCAAGCATGAGGACCTGAGTTTGGATCTCCAGCACCCATTAAAAACCTGAGCATGGCAGGCACTTTTGTAACCCTAGTGCTGGAAGACCCCAGGGGTTTGATGCAGTCAGCCTGGCCAATCAGTAAGCTCCAGGTTCAGTGAGAGATCCTGTCTCAAAAAACAAGGAAGCCAGGACAGGAACTCAAAGCAGGAACCAGGGGTAGAAACTATGGAGGAACACAGGGAGTGATAAAGGAAGATGCCTGGTGTTGACCTCCTGCCTCTGCATGTGTGTGCACCCGCATATACACACACAAAAGTGGGTGGGGAAAGTCAAATCTTCAAGGACCAAGCCAGGAAAGCATCAGCCTGTTATGTATGACTCAGCACCAGAGTGTAGTGAAGGGATCATGTCAAAGAGCTGGGGAACAATGTTTTCTACGGAGGATTCTGTACCCAGAGAAAATATAAATAATAAGTTTTCTAGAATTTGGGAAGGTTACTCTCTACACATCCCTTCAGAAAACACGACTTAAGGATGCACTCAGGTAAAACAAGGCAGAAAATCAAGAAAGGGGCAGACTTAGAGTCCAGGGAACAGTGACTCCAACTCAGAAACGCATGGGATGGAATTCTGAGGATCACACTCTCAGGGAACCCAAGGGTGATCCAGTCCACACTGCCCCTTCTCATCCCTGAGGACACTGCTCTCAGGACAAGGGATGTGACTAAATTTGACATTATAGTGAAGGCACATTACAACAATAAAGAGAAAATCAAAGCAATGAATAAGCTCCAGCAGGGACAGCGAGTTCTACGAGCAGGTGTGACTCATCTGGGAACACACTGAGATTATGTGAATCAGGGTGCCTGCAGGAGAATGCAAGATGGACAGGGAGACACATGACCTTGATGGTAGGCGTGTTCTCCTCAGAGTGGATCGGGAGCTATGAGGTTGGATAGACATGTTACTTGTCTCAACAGTGAACATAATCAAACAATGTAAATAGCTCCCAGTTACCGACATTTAAAATCAATGATTAGGGCCCAGAGGATAGCTCAGTGAGAAAAGGCACTTGCCAACAAGACAAATGCCATGAGTCAGATCCTAGAACCATATAAAGATAGGACACAATTGACTCTACAAAGTTGTCCTCTACCCTACACACACACACACACACACACACACACACACACACACGCACA